GGCTGTCAGCTCCCGGTTGGTGTGTATCGTCCCGCAGGCCCGCCACCCGCCCTTCAGGATGTCGTACATGCTACCGCACTTGCACAACGGCTGGCAGGTGGACCAGGCCATCCTCTCGGAAGAGGACCGAGTGGTGGTCATCCGCTTCGGGCACGACTGGGACCCCACCTGCATGAAAATGGATGAAGTGTTATACAGCATTGCTGAGAAGGTGAGCTGGAGCGAGCTGTGACGTGAGACAGTTGCTTGGTGCTTCAGGTGGCTTGTATGAAGCCTGAGGCGGGTTATAACTCGGTTCCTGGAGAGGCATTCCAGCTTTAGGAGGCAGGGAGAAAGCTGTTTGGTTTGCTTTTGTTGAGTGTCTCCTAAAGTCATCCACTACCCTGATCTTTGCAGCATTTAATAAGGTGAAAAGAGTGTTGCAGGTTCTGAAATCAATGTTGCTGCCTGCTGATAGTCTATCACTTAATGAACCTCAGCATTCAGGCAGAAATAGATGCTTGGTAGTAGGGCTGCTGTGGCTCTGGGTGGTGCAGCATTGTCACTTTACCATAGGAACATATAGTAGCTTCAGATTTCCATTTGAGTAACTTGAAAAGTTACTTTTATTGGCCTCTAAAAAATGGTGAGATCCTAAAATGTACAGGATGATGTTGATTCATCTATCAGTGATGTTACTTGTGGAGGCAGATGGCATTCCATTGAGTTGCATGACCTGAATTAAATTTTAGGAGCCAAGCTCTGAAGCTGTTTTCAGATGGAAACTGAGCGGCTGCTGACACCTGGTCACTCACTTAAGAAAGGTAAATACTGAAGAAGAACTATGCTGTTAACATAAGCAATCAGCAAAAAACTTTTTCATGCATTTAGTCAAGGTTTTGCGTAGTGATAGGTGTAGAAAATTGACAGCTCTTCTTTAACTGAACCACATAGAAAATGAAGCCAAATAATCTGAACCAGAAACAGTATCTTGGGTAGGAAAAGGAGTCAGCTCTCTTAGTGTAAAATTGTAGACATGCTGCATAACTTAATACAGAGTTCTTTTTGTGGGGTACTCCTTTCTCTTTTAATTTTATTTTACATAAATGAACTTCAGTCTCAAAAGGCCCTACAACGAAAGACCTATACTTACAGCCAAATGTTAAGACATAATAGAATCCAGTAAGGAGTTGTGACATGTTTTAATTTAGTCATTTTGTGTTTATCATGGTGGGAGTGCCTTATGCTCAGATACTGTTAGTATCAACTTTTGGCAAGCTGCTTGGTGGTTTGGCAGACAGGTTGGCAGTTAGGGGTGACTGGGGGAAGAAAGAACAATGTAACTTCTTATTTAAAAATCTCCCTCTGCAGAAATGGCAAATTAAAGGGGGAGATCCTTCCTCATCTTCTTGCTTACAAGCCATGTTTGGATCTCTGCTGTTTTAAAGAGTGAGTAAAAGTTCCAATTGTACAGGTGTTTATGCTACAGAATAATACAGAATGTTAACATGCTGTAATTGCATGCTACATTTGAAGAAAATGTAGCCATATTTTACATTTGTTACCATGGGTGCAATATTCTTTCAGTCTGCGGCGTATTTTTGGATAGCAGTAGTATTTATCTGTACTGTGTAATTGGAAAACAGGATTTTTTTCAGTTTGAATCCTTTCAGAGAAAAAGAAACTAGAACACTGTATGAAACTACAAAGCGGATTATTTTCACTGAGATGTACTCCACTTACAGTTGACTTTTTCCCCCCAGTGTTGTATGAAAAAGAAGCAAAGTTTCACTGAGTTTCAAAATAAATGGTAATTGTAAGATGTTAGATTTTTGTTTTATCAGCGTTTCGAACAAACATCTAAGAACTGAGTTTCATAAAATTCCTCTGGAACACCTTTTTTTAAAATACACCCTTTTTTAAAGGAAGCTTACAGTTATAAAAACCCTTCCCCTGAAATACAGGGCTTTGGCTACTAAATTACTCGAATACCTCTTTTTTTAAAGAAATATTTTAAACCCATGATTTATCTAGGATGAATAAGATACCCTTTTGTGAAACCGGGTCGCTTGAAACAGTAGGTTGTATTGGGTCAGTGTGGGTTTAGGGAGGACTGTCCAAATGTTTTGCATTTATTTAAATGTAATCAGAAGTGTAAATAGCTTTGGCTTAAACATTAGTTGTGCATCTGCATTTCTGTTATGGTTGCATGAAAAGTGAGAAAGGAAAAGAAAGTGAGGGGGAGGGGAAAGAAGGAGCTATAAAAAAAACTATATTGGTATTATAGTTATTGGTGTTTGTAATTAAAGTTGGGCAAAGATAATCCATTCACTGGTGTATAGTTTTCATAATTGTTAGATGTAAGTATTGCTCACAGCAGTACAATGTATTTCTCTTCTCCCCTAGAAATTTATCACAATTACAGCATAATTAGCAAGAAAAAAAATGCAGATGTTGTCAGTACTACAAACTTTCAAGTTAGTACTTACTGCGTTTGCAGCCTCTTCCAGTTCAGTAATGGAAGTCTGCTGACTGCCTTCACCTTAAATGAATTGGTGTGAAAGCTAGTCTCAGTGCCTCATTCCCCCCACCCCAGGATTTCCTTGTCCATAAAGACATCTAAACATAAAAAATATTGTCTAGAAACTGATTGGAAAGATAAGAAGATGGAATCTTGGATCTCGTCTCAGATTTCCTTGGGTAATTGCCATATACACTTTGGGCCATAAGTTAACGTCTGGTGGTGAGATTTGATTCTTAAGGGGAGCTGGAATCTTAACACAAAAAAAAAGGAAAAAAGAGTATTACTTAGCCCTAACAGAAATTTAAAGAATTTAAATTTAAAGAATTTAAAAAACAAACTCCACAACTGTTGCCATTCTTCCTAGTCTTTGATCATCTTGCTGTGGCAATCTCATGTTGTAGGAATGCATTACTTTTTTATTGGAATGACACTGTTAATGAAGTAAGTCAGGAGGGAGAGTTTTGGATGAGATCTACTTAATCTGGCATATGATTTTTTTCTATATCTGTGTTTCCTGTTTACCAGTAAAGCACGTGGTCTCGATCAAGATAAGATACAGAATCTGCATCTGATGTTTAGGGTTCTATAGATTTATCTGCATTACAGTCTTGGGCCGTTCCATTTAAAGATTTAATATTAGTCCACCCAAGCAGATACGGTTCTGTGAAGTATTAAAATAGGCTGTAACTGGCTGGGTAATAAGGTACTTCTGGTTTTTGTGTATGTGCAATGACTAATGTAGACTAATCTGTGAAGCTACAGTAAGAAAAATAAATCCCAAACAAACCCAACCAAAAATTGAAGCCCAACTGATGGAAGTAAATCTGTTGACGTTTTGAATCCATGCTGCTCTTTGGCTTTTAGTCTCCTACTGTCCTCCATCCTGTTCCAATTGACAGCAGCTTCAATATCCTGGTAAGACAGAGAAAGTTTTGAATTGAAAGATGGGTAAAGGAAGTCAGAAGGTTAGAAATAAATACATTCAAAAGCAAACATCTGTCTTATTTTTCTGCTGAAAATGTTTTTATCTTCAGATGTTGAACAAATGTGGAGTTGTCTGAAAGGACATCTGTTGCTAGAGGGTTGTTTTGGTTTTTGGTTTTTTTTTTTTCAGAAAGCAGCTGACTTACAGTAACACTTAGCAGCTTTGTTGCAGTATGTTAGGAGGTTAAGTACTTTCAGAATAAACTTGTGTTATTATATCTTCAGCTTCTAAAATACCACAAGGCTTTTTGCCTGTTGTCTGTACAGTAAAATTTAGGTTTACATTAGCAACCTCAGTGTAGTCTCAGTTGTTACAACTGCAGCTGCTTTTATTTAATGTGGTTTGCTTGCTCAGAGTTACATTTAATTTTTATACTGAGATCTCCATACTGTAAGCCCCATTTGTAACTCAGAAGTCAGAAAGCAACCACAGCTTTCTGTATAGCAATGTGGTTTTTGAACTGACAGCTCCATCTGGGGGACAGATTCATGACCCAGTAGATGGAGAGACGTTAAGGTTTGGTTTGCCTCCAAGTGTAGGTCAGCTCCTGCGTCCATAGCAGCCTGAATCCAGAAAAGCTACAATTGCTTTTGCCTAAAATGAAACCTAAGCTAAAGCCTTGTGAATTAGAGCAAGCTGTGTGTGAAGCCAGCTCAGAAGCTGCTCTGTACTGCTGTGTCTTGGCTCCAGTACTGTGTCTGTGACAGTAAAACTGGTCAATACTGTGCAGAGACATTTGACTAGTTCTGCAGGGCTTGTCTTGTGTTGAAATAAAATGCCTTTTGGTGACAAGCCTGCCCAGTCTGGCATGGCCACTAAATGGTAGATGTTATGGCCACTGTAGTGCTGCTGCATTATCTTTTCCATATTTAGCCTTTTACCCATGTTTTTGCCTTCATTCTTGGACCTGAATCCCAACTTCCTACTGCTACGAATATTGGAGTGTTACATGGCAAGCCATATGTCACAGGCAACCTTGGCAGCCAATGTCCAAACTGAACAACACGCACCCCTTATTCAGTGCACTTGCAGGCTACGTGGTTTTGGAGGGGTAATTTTGGCAGATTTGAAATTAAGAAAGCAAAGGGGAAAGAATTGAGCAACTTTTAAAGTTCTGAATTCAAGTTTGAGAGTCCGTATCTAGCTTTGAGGTCTGCTTTAGACTTTGTACAAGCTTTTGAGCTGGCAACTGTCATCGGTTTCACTTCTATAAAAATAGAAATATTCCCATGTAGGAGAGAAGGGAGATTCAGTTAATATCAGAGATACTTGGGATTACAGTGATAACTTGCATATGTGCTGTGCAAAGGGGATTTGAATGATCCAGTCCTTTTGAGTATGATATATGTAATAACTTATTTAAGACTTGAATAGTATTTGAGTTACAGAAGTTAAACTAATGCATTCATTAATTGTGGTTCACTTTCTAAAAATCTTAGGCTGATGATCTTCATTGCTAGTGACAAGCATTTCTGGTTCTGCAACAGCTCAACTGAATTAAATATATATAATGTAAAATTAACTTTAAAAGTTTTGTTGTGGAGTACCTAGTACATGGAAGTAAAATTTTGGTTTAGCAGTGCTTTTCTGGTGGTGCAACATATAATCTCCTTGGACTGAACTTTCAGTGAACAAAGCAGGTCCTAAGAATGATGTATTAGTGCTGGATTTAACTTAAAATCATTTTCTAATCTCTAAATGAAATAATGGTTCAAAGATTATGTTTAGTTTGTCGGAATTGCCAAATGTGTTGTAGAAATTTCCCCACACGGTGAAGCTGTGCTGCTAAAAACATCAGCAGGATGGAAGAAGAAATGATAGGAGAAAATTAAAATAGCTATTCAGTCTCTGTTTTTAAAAAATAAAAAGCACAAAGGAACAGCTGTCTCTTGCCTCCCAAGGCCAACTGGGGAGTAACTTCAGTCACTTCTCAGCTAAATTGTTGACTCTGAGTATCCCATTAAGTATCTTAGAAATCGTTCATATAAAAATTGAAGTGGGCATGAATGGCCACTTTGGAGAGTGTTGGAATTTGGTGTTATGATTAACTCGGGTTTTCAAGGCTTTACCTCCTGCCAGTTTTGGAACATGGCTTAAATGGGATGTTTTTATTAGATTATTGACAGAGTCTAGGATGATAACCAGCTCCATAAAGCACAGTAAAAACTACTTAAATGCTGTTTCACTCCAGAAACTGTCTTGAAGCAGAAGTCCATCACAGTTTATTTACTGTGTGCTTCTGTTTTTGTAAACAAACATCTCCACACATCTCAGTTTGAATGCCTGCTGGGATGTTTAAGCACAAGCTACACTGTATATAATATTTTTCTGGTACAATCTAATCCTGTTTTGTGGACTAAAATAAAAAATATTTACATCAAGCAGGTATTCTACTCATCATAGCATTTCTAGATGTTTGATAGCTAAATTAACCTGTGGGTAATACTGTGACAAACAGTAAGTTTGTCACAAATCTTAGACCACGTGTGTTACCTCAGACAGGTAATTTTGTGTAGTCAGATGGGAAGGACTGAAATTGTATTTGTATGTAAGGACTGGGGGGCAAAGTTGTGTGTTCATGGTATAATGCCTGAGTGTTTGATAATACACCTTACAGTTAAAGGTTTGTGATATTTAGATGCCTACTAAGTTATATTTTTAATGTGTGTGTGTGCGCGCTAATTTCTACTGTATATGTAGAATGAGATGTATGTGAGATTAGAAACGGAACCTTCCCCTAATTCCGCTTAAGGATAAATATGCTACATCTAGGAAATAAAAACATGATTTTCTTTCAGGAATTAAGACGTTAACTATGACATTAAAGGGGAGGGATTCTTGTGTGTTTAACTTAGGTTTTCATTTTGCACAGTTACTATTTTACCAGAATTGCCCAGAGAATAGCATCTCATCAAATTGTTTAAGTATCAATTGCATTTTTAAGCTCCTGTTTCAGCTTTAAACTTCTCAAAAAAGCTATTGGTTTTTATTATTAAATTATCAGTTTTATTTTCATTTAACTAGCCTTGTTAAACAAACCAGGTGGTTTATGGGGGGGGTGAAAATTGCTCGGAGGCAGGCACCAGAGCATTTTAGATCATTAATTTTCTGAAGTCTATAAGCAGCTGACGACAGATGCGAACTGTGTCAGCCTGGCTTGCACAAAGCAGTTACTCTCCTTGTTTAGAGCTGTGCAATGTCACTGTGAGGTCTCAGTTGTACATAAAGGGCATTTGTTTCTCTGGATCTTGATTTAGCATAAGTATCTTTCCAGTTGCTACTGGATGTGAGATTAGCATCTCGGCTGTATTTAAAAATATTTTCCATGTTAATTGGTTGTTTTGGTTAAAAAAAAAAATGGCAAGACTGTTTATGGTGATTTTTATGATTTAGTGTTTTGGAAAATAAATGTTGCAGTAATGAAAGCTTGTGTCTTTTAATTTGTTATACAAATAATCAAAGGTTTAATAACATACTCTTTTTATATTTCCTGTTTTCTTCTGTTTAGGTAAAAAACTTTGCTGTTATTTATCTTGTGGATATCACTGAAGTACCAGACTTCAACAAGATGTACGAGTTGTACGATCCCTGTACTGTCATGTTTTTCTTCAGGTACATGATGGTTCTAGAATGTAACTCAGTTAAATTTTTTGTGTGTCAAATACAGTGTCTCCTGTAGATCATTTCTAAATGCCTGTCAGGATACTGATGCTTATATTTCCATTGCTCCACAAAAGAGAAAAATGATTAAATAGGAAAATTACTTTGTTTCCAATTAGCCTAGTAACAGTGTTTTGTTAATAGAATACAGATTAGTGATAGGGAAAACTGTTTTTTATTCTCCTTTGTTCTTAGCTTTAAAGCTGAAACTCCCTGTATAGAATAGTGCAGTGATACAGGAGCCAAGCTTATCAAACTTCCTTTAAGGATATACCCAAAATCTGAAGGTTTTTTAGAGCTAAAGTGTCTACATTGATGAGATAAAATGTGCTGCTGGCAGGTGTAGAACTCTGGTGTTAGTAGTGGGAAGGAAATATGAACAATGAGTTATATGCTGAAGGATAATTGCACTAAGTAGCAACCTGGGGGGCATGTTTGCAGTCTTTGTTCTGGCTTCAGGCTTTAGAAATAGGCAGTAAAATGTCAACTTGGGTGAGAGGAGCAGATACTTTTTTTGAGGCTTATTTTGCAAGCTTGGTTATTTTACAAGGGCTTCTTTTGAATCCTACACAACATTCTTGTGGGGAGTGGAAAGTTTCTTTCTGTATTACAGTACCATATTAACTTGTCTGTTTTTTTGTTTTTTTCTCTCCCTTTCAAGGAACAAACACATCATGATTGATTTAGGTACAGGTAATAACAACAAGATCAACTGGGCAATGGAAGATAAGCAAGAGATGATTGACATTATAGAAACTGTTTATAGAGGAGCCCGCAAAGGTCGAGGTTTGGTGGTATCGCCAAAAGATTATTCCACTAAATACAGATACTGACACTTCTTCAGGGCTGCCTTTTTTTTTAATCCTATGTCCACTTAAATTTATTCTTGTGTATGTGTGTACATATATATATTAAAAGAAAAAACCTACAAATGTTTCAACTTTGAGCATATTTTGAATTATTTAAAAGGTTGGAGTTCTGTTTGGAAAAGTAAAAGGCACGAAGCTTGCAACTGTCTGACTGGCAATACTGTAGATGAATTTTGGATTGTATTTTTATTTTTTAAAGACTTTGTGTTGTCCTTTTGGTATGATGTATTTTTCTACACAAAAAACCTGTTTGCAGAAAAACATTTCAACTGGGTTTGTTTTCTTTTGTTGCAGGAATATGTGGGAAAACTATACTATAGCTTTTTTTAAAGTAATGAAATAGGTTTCACTTACCTTAGTTTTCTTTAATTAAATTTGAGAATGGAAACAAGTGTAAGTGAATGCAAAATCATAATGTTGAAGATGAATCCTGGAATTGTCTAGGTTGGAAGGGACCTTTAAGATCATCTAGTCCAGCCATCAACCTAACTCTGATAAAAAAACCATCACTAAACCATGTCTCTAAGCTCTATGTCAACCCGTCTTTTGAACACCTCCAGGGATGGTGCCTCAACCCCTTCTTTGGGCAGTCTGTTCCCATGTTTGATAACCCTTTCAATGTAAAAATTTTTCCTAGTTTCTAATCTGAACCTCCCCTGGTGCAACTTGAGGCCATTTCCTCTTGTCCCATCACCTGGGACTTGGGAGAAGAGACCGACCCCCCCCTGGCTACACCCTCCTTTCAGGGAGTTGGAGAGAGCAAGAAGGTCTCCCCTCAGCCTCCTCTTCTCCAGGCTGAACAGCCCCATAATGTTGAAGATGAAGGCTTATCGCTCCTGTCAGGAATTCCTTGCATAGTATCTTGGTCTTCTGTATGCACTAAAAATAGAAAGAAAGCACTTGGGTGCCTTTATAAATATTTAGCAGAACTTGGAGAAGGTATCTTCCATGACTTCTCCGCAGCTTAGCTGACTCGTGGTGATGGACTTCTTTTTTTTCATGTTGATTATGCATACAGTAGGCACTTTGAAGTACTTAATAGATTCCACAGTGCCAAGGAGTAATTGCAGTTCTGGAGCTGGCTGCAGAGTCAACAGTTGAAGAAAGGATGAGCTGTGCTTTCTCTCATGTGACCTCCAATTTGTCTTAATGGGATGCTAAAATGCATATATGCTCATGAGACCTGGGTTGATTCCACCGCGGCACGGCTTTTTGAAGTTCCCATTTGCATTTCTGACAACTTTTGTTCTGCAGTAATGGAGCCAGTGTTGTAGGGCTTTCTGTAGGTTGGTTGGTTGGTTGTTATTTATACTGAAACATGCATATTTACAGGATTAAGAAAAACCAAGCCAGGCTATGCAGAAAGGAGATACCTGTATTTTTGGTCCAGTTTGTTACAAGACGAAGTGAAACCAGCTTTTTTACCATCTCTGTGTTTTAGAGGATTTAGATTTAGAATGAGTCATGAAAGTGAAATTAAATTAATCTGGTTTGCAGTGGTTATTAATAATGGAATAATTCATGTTGGAAGGGACTACTGAAGGTCTAGTCCAACCTCCCTGAGTAGATCCAACTTGATCAGGTTGCTCAGGACTGTCCGGTGTTGCGTTATCTCTAAGGACAGTGATTCCTTAGTCTTTCTGGAAAGCCTGTCCTACTGCCTGAGTTGAAAACAGTGTTCCTTACATCTAGCTGGAATTTCCTGTGTTCCAGCTCGTGTCTATTAACTCTCTCGTGCAAAACACCTCCAACAAGAGCCTAACTGTTCCCCGTGCTCAACCACGGGGTAGTTGTAGCCAGAAAGAAAACCATAGTCTTTTCTTAAGGCTGAACTAACAGAATTCTTTCAAACATGTTTTACAATCCACCACCTCTTGGTGGCTGGCTAACTGCCTCATAACAATGTATTTCTTGATCTGGGGAGCCCCAGAATTGGCAGAGTTTTCGGGGTGTGATCTCAGTGGAGTTGAGGGCAATGACCCACTGCTTCTGATGGCGTGTGGCTGCACCCTGTGGTGCCTGGGCACTCTGCCCACTCATGTTCAACTCGTCCCCCAGACCCCACTCCTCTCCTCCTGTGCTGCAGGACAAGCTTACCCTGTCCCAGAGGCCAGGCACTTGCCTTTTGAGCATCATGAGGTTCCTGCTGGCCCATTTCTCCAGCCTGCCCTCTCATAGCACCCTCTCCCCCAGCTTTGGCGTTGCTTGCAGATCTACACTGATTAAAGCATTGATTAGGATGATTTCTTGATACTAATGAAGACGCTGAAGAATCTATAAGAGATTATAAGTATTAAGGCTCTGCCAAGATTTTAAAAAGTGTATTTAGCCTTCATTAGTTGAGGTAATCTATTCGCCTGGCAATGCTTCAATTTCTGCATTTCTTGTAAGAGGATCCTATTAAGTTTCAAACAAAAAATCTTTTCATGCCAAAAGTGCCAGTGTTCTGCTGCACAAGAACCTTAAACCGATGTTCTGTTTGCTTTGACTCTGCAATGTCGTGTTTGGTAACTAGAATTCCTGTCTCTCTCAAATTCTTTAGGCTCTTCCAGTAAAAATGGCTAATGTTAACTGAAATTGGGACAGCGTGTGTGCCTGAATGATGTTATTTCCCCAGGTGGGCATGGCTTTGCGTGGGCTTGTGGCCAGAGTAACAACTGAAGAGCTGGGATCTCTGCAGATGCTGCAGAAGAGTCTTGTGTTCATTGTACCTATACAGTTTTGCAAAGCACCTTTTTAATAACATCAAATAAGATAAGGGGCATTTTGGAATGTAAAACATTTAAAGGAGTCTCACAATAGCCCTCGCAAAGGTAGAAAAGTTTTGATCTTGTTATTCTGAGAATGTTGAAGTTAAAAAGGCAACAAAGAAATAGGAGGAAAATTTTAATGTTTAACTGAAACACATTTTCATACATTGAAAAAGTGTGTGACCGGATAAGTTCACTATGTGGGCTATAGTTTTCTATCCAAAATAGTGTTGTTTTTTTTTTTTTCTCCCCTGAAACTAATAGTTCTTTCCCAACTACAGGAAATACAGTGTCCCATTTAGATGAATGAATGAACGCAGCCTTCTGCTTTTTTTTTTTTTTTTTTCTTCCCCCCTGAGGCAATAATTTAGAAAAAATAAATTTGGATTCTATTGCGACGTGATGCAAGAGCGTTTGTTTTCACTGACAGGAGAGTGATTGTCATCTCCCAAATTGCGTGCGCTGCTCTTCTCCCTTTATCTTTCTCCATCACATCCTCATTTCAGTGCTGCAAAGACAGAGTGAGTAACTGGGTTAGTGGTTTAATTATTCATGAATGTGATTCAGCATAAAAATGGGAAGATCTCTGCACGGTTAAATACGGCCCCATGGATTGTCTCTCTCTTATTTTTGAAAATTATTACGTAGCTTATCACGCGAAAGGCATCAGAATGAATAATTGGCTAGATTATTTCAAGGTATTTACAGATCTTCCTGTCTTTTGCTGGGTAAGCAGTGCCTAAATGATAAAAATGATGGATGTGTCTGGGTTTGAATCAGGGAAGCGTGTAGCAACAGGAAGAAATCACCCACGCCCAGAGAACACGGAAGCAGCGTTCCCTTGAAAATACGAAGAACAACAGCTAAGGCATCCATGGTACACAACTCAGTGTACTTTAAAATCCAAGTAAATGCAGGTATGAGAAATAGGTTAACAGTGTTTTCGTGCTAGGGGGCCGCCCACGGTTCAAAACTTAAGTGGAAATACGTAAAATACAGTAAAACTTCATAATTAAGTTTCTTTACTCTCAGCTCCTCCTCGGTGTTTTCGATCCCCGCCTCTGTCATCAGGTCAGCAACGTGCTTCTCCAGGTCATCAATGCGCTCACCCATTTCTTCCAGTAAAAAGTTAAAGATAACTTGATACGTAAGGATTCTATCATTTTCTATTATTTTTTTTTTTTTTTTTTTTTTCTTCTGTGGGGGAAAAAAAGGAGCAGCTTTCTTCCAGGTGTCTCAACCTCTTAACTTACTCTCGTTCAACTCCAACGCAAGACGAAGCCTGCACAGGGCTCTATTACTACGAGACAACCCTGCTTTCTTTTGCAACAGAGAAGCGAGTTTTTCCTGCTTGAATTTCTTTCAGATTCTAAAGTATTTTCAGATACTTTCCCTGCCTGCCTGGGAGGGAACTGGAGTATTTTTTGTGCAAGAGGTTGTTTTATTTCCCAGGAAATAAATGATACTGTACAGTCAGCTTAGACAATTGGAATATAAGTGCTGCCAAAACATTATTATTCTCTTACACTGAAGCAGCTGTTTCCTAAAAGGTCGGGTTTCAGAAAAAAAATGGAAAATGGAATGAATTTAGAGTTTCAGGAAGCAGTTTTTTGTGAGTACACCTAATGAGAAAGCTCAGAGCCCCTTCAAGTCTTTAATTTCTCTTTTTGAGGGCTCACCTTCCCATACTCATGGGATGTTCGTTTTAAAGCAGTTGTTTTAAAAACAACACTGCGATACGCTGGTTTAGGTGGCATTTTTGAAGATGGTTGTTTCCTTTTTTTGGTTTTTTTTTAATGTACCTTCAGAATCTTTGCCTATAATTTGCTGCTTATTTCACTTGAGAGCAAGAACTGCCGCGCAGAGATTAGCTCCCGGGGAGCTGATGCTGCTTTTTTAGGCTTTCCTTCTTAGTAAAGGGAAAAATAAATGGGTTTGGGGAGGTGGGGGGAGCAATTCGGGGGTCTTTGCCTCACGGGCGTTTAGCGAAGTCGATGGTTATATCTTAATTTGATGTTTGGGGGGGGGAAACGCATCCCGGGGTGAAAAAAAACAAGGGAGGGGGGAGACACAGGGCGAGCGAGGGGTGGGAAAGCGAAAAGAGGATATTTCTCAGCGTCATCTTTTCAGCCAGAGCTTGAAAATTCTCCTGCAGCTGATGCAGCAGATTTTCCGCCTGGAAAAGGAGGGGAAATAGGGAAAGCAGAGAAAAAGCAAGAGCCCCGGAGGGGGGGGCGGCGGCGGCCGGTCCCGGTCCCGGTCCCTTGCGCTCCTCCTCCCGGCCCTATGGGGGGGACCCACCGGTGCCCCCCACACCCGTTCCCCCGCCAGCCCCCCACCTCTCCCGGCGCTCACCAGCTGCGAGAGGTCCCCGGTGCCCGGCGGGTCGGTGGCCGCCATCGCCTCCGCCTTCCCCCCCCAGCCCTTCCCCGCTCCCGGTGGCGGCGGGGCGGGCAGGTGAGCGCCGCCCTTCACCCCGCCTCTGCTCGGGAGGGAGGGAGGGAAGGAGCCGGTGAGTCCTTAAGTACCAGCCAGCCCTGGTATTCCTTTATTTTTCCCCAAGAAATCCTAATTCTTCAGGGCAATGACTGCCGGAGGATGCTGAGGCTTGATCCTCAGCATCCCTCTAGATGATGAAAAATGCTTGTTTACCAACAAGCCCCAAGTTTGGCGTTGGTTTTTTTCGTGGTTTTCTTTTTTATTATTATTATTTTTTTCCCAAAGGTTTGCTTCCTTTCCCCCATGTAATTAGTTTTGTCCTACGGAGTGATAAAAATGCCATGTTGTCGAAGTTCCTTGCGTGGGAACGCCTAAAGAGACAAGAGCGAAGGCATCAGCAAGAATTGGGCGGTGTCTCTTGCAGGCACGGTGGCATGTAGGTCATCTCCGTGGTTTTTAGCTTTGTAGCATATAAAAGGAGGATGGAGCCGGACTCTTCTCAGTGGTTCCCAGTGACAGATCGAGGGGCAACAGGCACAAGCTGGAACATGGGAAGTTTCACTCCAATCTGAGGAAGAATTTCTTTGGGGTGAGGGTGGCAGAGGCTGCCCAGGGAGGGTGTGGAGTCCCCTTCTCTGGAGATCTTCAAGCCCCACCTGGATGCCATCCTGAGTGATGTGCTCTGGGCAGCCCTGCTTTGGCCGGGGAGTTGGACTGGATGATCTCTAGAGGTCCCATCTAACTCTGACAATAATGTGATCTATTTCAGAGGTGTCTTGTGTATGCAGGTGTTCTTGATTTCTAGAGGTCCCTTCCAACTCTGACAGTAACGTGACCTATTGCAGAGGTGTCTTGTGTACGCAGGTGTCCCGGCTGCTGTAACTGTTGCCTGATGTAAATGAAGAGGTTTTCAATTTGCTGTGCTTATACTGTTAGGAGAAATCACTGTTGGGCAAGAGCTTTCCTCACTCTATTACTTTATAGATGAGCCAAACACCTAACAGTGCCTTCACCCACAAGTTTCTTTCTGGAGTTAGGAGTGACCTCAAATGTTGGAAAGATTTATCTTTTGCAAGCCTACCACTTAGAATCCTTCCTAATAAACTTAACTGTTTTCCTTCACACCTTTCCCACCTCCTTTTGGAAGGTGTGTTAATCTCGATGGTGAGATTCTGGCATCAAAGCAAGCTTTGTTGCTGCTTCTCCTAATCATGGCTTCTACTCTGTACATCCTTATCTTCCAACTCTTGCAGGTTCTCCTCCTTGCCTTTCCCGTTGTAGAAAGAAAAGTAAAAATCTGCAGGGGTTGAGTGCTCTAGCAGTGCTACTGCTCTAGAAAGGCTCTAGATAAAACAATCTGGACAATAATATGCCTGTAGATATGCTTCACATTTGTACGTAGCCACTAGGTGCAACCACATAGCTTTTTTGACTCTTGCAGGTTCTCCTCCTTGCCTTTCCCGTTGTAGAAAGAAAAGTAAAAATCTGCAGGGGTTGAGTGCTCTAGCAGTGCTACTGCTCTAGAAAGGCTCTAGATAAAACAATCTGGACAATAATATGCCTGTAGATATGCTTCACATTTGTACGTAGCCACTAGGTGCAACCACATAGCTTTTTTGTTCTGTTGCATAAATCACAGAATCACATGGGGTTGGAAGGGACCTCTGGAGATTATCCAGTCCAACCCCCCTGCCAGAGCAGGTCCGCCCAGAGCAAGTTGCACAGGAATGTGTCCAGGCAGGGTTTGAATGTCTCCAGAGAAGGAGACTCCACCACCTCTCTGGGCAGCCTCTTTCAGGACTCTGCCACCCTCCCAGGAAAGGCATGTTTCCTCCTCATGTTTAGGTGGAACTTCTTATGTTCAAGTTTGTGCTGGTTACCTCTTGTCCTGTCCCTGGGCACCACTGAAAAAAGACTGGCCCCATCCTCCTGACACCCATCCTTTAAGTATTTATAGGTGTTAATCAGATCCCCCCTCAGCCTTCTCTTCTCTAGACTAAAAAGCCCCAAGTCCCTCAGCCTTTCCTCCTAAGGGAGATGCTCCAGGCCCCTCATCATCTTTGTAGCCCTCTGCTGTCCCCTCTCCAGCAGTTCCCTGTCTTTCTGGAACTGGGGAGCCCAGAACTGGTCCCAGTGCTCCAGATGGGGCCTCCCCAGGGCAGAGCAGAGGGGGAGGATGACCTCCCTCCACCTGCTGCTCACACTCTTCCTGATGCACCCCAGGATGCCATTGGCCTTCTTGGCCACAAAGAGAACATGGTCGGCTCATGGTCATCCTATTGTCCAGCAGGACAAAATACACAGTAAGAAACAGTTGTTGCTTTTTACCTGTTCATTTGTGGCTAATCCATCTCCCTTCCCTCAGGGCTAGATAGTAGAACTGTACTATTTTTTTTTTTTTTTGCATTTTCACTCCTGATAACAGCAGTAGCCTTCTTGGTTTTCCCTCCTGCTGGAACAGCTACGTAAGCTTGGTCATCCTATTGTCCAGCAGGACAAAATACACAGTAAGAAACAGTTGTTGCTTTTTACCTGTTCATTTGTGGCTAATCCATCTCCCTTCCCTCAGGGCTAGATAGTAGAACTGTACTATTTTTTTTTTTTTTTGCATTTTCACTCCTGATAACAGCAGTAGCCTTCTTGGTTTTCCCTCCTGCTGGAACAGCTACGTAAGCTTCCCTCTTAGCCAGCAGCATTTTCCAGGGTCCACAGCCCAATTGGCTCTGTCTGCTCCTGCCCAGGTTTCTTGAACAAAGTCATAGGGTCCTGTTTGCAGGGGTAAAGAAACAGCTGGAAACACGGAGGTGCAAGCGTTCACACAGCCCATGAGTTTGCAAGAACTGCCCCAAATCTTTGTCGCGCCACCTTTTAGCAATGGCCGGGTTTAGATTTCACCTGAAAACGTGGTAGAGGCTTTTTGTAAACAGCTTCTGTTTGCAAGGCAGGTCAGTGGGGTCAGGGCAAAAAACCCATGGTGTCCAGCCAGCGTGGCATTGGAGGAAGGGGAATTGAAAGCGTGAGGGAGACTGAAGGAAATATTTCGCCCTGGCTTTTCCCCTCCAAAGTCTGGTTCTTTTACTTTGTAGGCTCCACACCTAATTTGAATGGCCCTCCTAGTTCAAATCTTCAGCTGAATTAGGCCAAAAGTCCACAGCTGGGTTTGTGGACTAAAAATGGAAGGGTCTGTAAAGCCAAAACTGGTCGTGGAAAAGTTCCAAAGTTCAGAAAACCTAAGAATAGAAGAGACAAACTGCAAGACCAAAAAGACTTTGATTAACAATGTATTTATTTAAAATAGAAATAGAGCATTCAGCTTTGCCCTACTGTCCTCTATTCTCTCCCTCCTTGGTGGGCTCACTTGGGAATGTAAGACGAGCCATATTTTAAAAGCCATAGTCCATCACAGGCATCATCCATGGGCTAATGGAAGCTGAGCAAAAATGGGGTTTGTTCTTGTTTTCTTGTGGTGTTGGTTTTCAAAAGCAGAGGTCTAGCTGAGAACCAATAAACAACCAGTGATACCGGTGTTCATAAGAATATTTACCGCAATAAGTAAAGAATAGTTCATTTGCTAAAAGGGTACCAAGAAGTTCATGTTGGCAGTGAACACAAAAAAAGGTCTGGAAGGGCTTAGAGAAAGGAAAAAAAGAGAAAAATGGACAGTATAAATTTATTTTCCATGCCAAAATATGCTCTGTGCTACTTTCTTTCAGTGAAAAGCTTAGACTTCAGTCACTTTCAGTTTAAATATGCCCTCTTGGTATGAAGAACATGAAGTAAAAATAAAAAATAGGGTGACTTAGAGGTTGGGGAGCCATCTGCTTCCATCCTGTTTCAGAATTGCAAGCCTGTGCTGTGAACTCTTCACATCATGGTCTCGTGCTCAAACGGTATCCAAAGTGTGTTCCTCTTGCTCTTTCCCAGGGAAATTCCAGTCCCTCCAAGGCTAGAAGGAGAAGCCAGGGTAGCAGGATAGGAAAAGCAGAAGTGACACAAAGTCCTTTCTCTCTCCTCTTTGCTGACAAATGAGATTTTATATACCAGGGGTCAGGAATCCTCCGGTCACGTACTCCAAGCACGTCTGGCTCAGGGCCACTTTGGAATGGAGGTGAGGACAGAGAGAGGGTGTCTCAGAAAAAAAAAAAAAAGAGGCTTAATATTACGTGTGTGGTAAGAAAGAAAACAGGGAATTTAGTCTTGGAAGGAGACAATCAGGCAAATATTCTGGGGCCACCCATGGCAGCTTGTCTGGCTGTAGATCAGAAGGCAGGGTGCAAGTCACACTGCAAATTTTTTGGGGTTTGCTTTTTCTTTTGCTTCCTGGCAGAGGCATGGTCAGTTGTTAAAGCTGAAGGGAAAAGGGCTGGGTACAAGCTAGTGCTTGCACCACAGTCATGGTATTTCTGCTACCAAACTGCAGGGTTGGGTCTTTGAGTCATGCTGTACTTGGTCTTTCCCTCTTTCTTAGGAAGATTCTCTTGCATCACCTTGCAATTCTTTAGGGGAACACCACGAGCAGAAAAAGCATCTGGCTTTGCTAGGTCATCGGCTTTTATGTGCTGAAATCCTAAATGCTGCTGATGTTTCTTGGAAGCAAACTACTAATATTAACCTGTTCCTTTTGACTCAGAGTGCTGGAGTTCACCGAAAGCTTGTTCCACTGGATTACTTACTGGTGAAGACGTGGCTTTTCTTTCATCTGGTAACATCAGTAGAATTAACAAGTCGGTGTTATTTAAAAGCATGGAAAGATGTGAGTGAAATGCAAAGGGGGAAAAGCATTCAGGTCAATAATGGTGCCTGACAACCATAGGGCTTCTTTGAAAGACAAGTAATTTGAGGTGAATATTAAAAGCTTGGGTGGTTCTGCATGGTTTGAATTTCAGGCTCTGTATCTTTGAAGAGAAAAGTGTAATTCCAGCAGTCGGGAAACCTGATCCCTGATGGAAGTGCTCTGTCTTCAGTGAAAGTGTTGCTTTTTGGGACTGCTGCTCATAAATCCACTTACTGTGAACCTTGTTCAGTCAGTCCCTTT